GTCATCATTATTTTGATTGTCAGTAGTGACTGGTTGACTAACTGCCCGTCCCCGTATCGACCCATAATCCATCTATGTATATGGCATAAAGTATCGATCTGGGTGCGAGCCAAGGTTAATTGAATTTAGGCTGTTATGTGTTTTTTTTTTTTTTTGTGGGTGTGCGATATCTTTCTGCCTTCCTGTTTTATCTTTATGATGCTAGTAAACGGTTTGTATGGCCAAAACGTGTATGCATAGAAGTTGAGCGGCATTATGGCAACAGTAATTAACATATACACCCCTGAATTGGCAACAATTAGAGCCATAAAGGTTGACATTTGGAAATGTACTTTGCTCAGGAAAAATTATGCTTCAAACACAAACCAAAAAAAGAGGCATTCATAGACGAGTTCGGCATCTCGTATCTCAAAACCTATCCAAAAGTTATCTTTAATGTTTGCTCATTTTTGCAACATGCTTTCTATTTCTATTCAAAATTGAACACAAATAAAGTTAATTACCATAAACTGATAGAATGAATTACAAGCTTAGTTAAATTAAATCGTAGTTTTACATTTTAGCTTTATGCATTTTAAAATGCTTTGATGTTTCACTTCTTAGAGAAGAATTATACGAGGCGATATCATTTTATGCAAGGCTAGAGCCACATTACAATCGGAAGGGATAAAGCCATATAGACATAGAATTACAAAGAAAATTTAAAGATATTCTTATACAATATTGATGAGATCAGCAGATATATTTCTGATCAAAATGATCAAATAATCGTGTGGTCCCGAATGTGAGGAAAGTCTTAACAAGCTTCCCATTGCTAATTGGCTAAGAAATTTTGTTGTTCTTCAGGGGGAATACAGTGACCTATGTGAGCGATTGGGGGTGCAAAATCAGCGCGAAGCTACAAAGATCTTAACAAACTTGCCTTCTGTTAAATAGTTATACGATTTTTAACTAAACGTTCCAAACAGGACAATAGAATAATTGCAATTAGTGAACAAATGCCGATTGTGAAACATAATTTTATTTCGGTTAATGTAATTAAAAATGTTGGTACTTCTATAGAACTGGAGCTGGCTGGGTTTTTAGTTTTTTAATATGACATACTTACATATATTGTGTTGTGCATTTTTAGAGAGTCTGGACATTTCGTCGTTTAAGTTAAGTGAAAAATTAAATGGTACTACGTTGCAATCAATTTGCTTATGATATTTATTAAGTGAGCATATATCGAAATACATACAGAATACATACTAGCTTGACTGACATCCTGTTGCATACCAAATATTTACGTATATGAATAGGACAGCAGACAGGCAGCAGCAACTCGGACAACAAAAACATTTTTACACACTACATCTATTTTGTTGTTATTTTGTCTGCTGCCGTTTTTGTTGTTTTGATTGTCTGAAGAAAAAGTTTTTGCAGTTTGGCTACATTTTCAATAATTTCTTTAAATTTGCACAAACTTTGGCCGCCACTTCTATTGTTGTTGCCCATTGCAGTTTTAGCTGAAAAACAAACAAAATAATAAAAGAAATATGTACCTAAAAAGTACATCTCGTAGAAGAAGAAACGTCATGCTATGAGATTTTTTTTTTGCAGGAAAAACATCAAAAATTGCTAGAGACTTTAGCTTTACTTTTGTTTTATTTCCACAGCCGGTCGGTTGGTCGGTTGGTCGGTTGGTTGGTTGGTCGGTCAATGCGCATCGAACCAAACTGTGTGTTCTCTACTTGTTTTATGTGAAAAATGTGCGAGGAAAGTTTTTCAAAGTTGCACGGCGCCAGAAACAAACTCAACAACAAGTACTAAGAAGGCAAGAAAAGTATGCTTGGTCTTTTAGAGATGCCATCGACTTTTCCGAGTTGTGTGCAGCTGAGGCAGCCTCTAAGATTTCCTAAGCTACAATAACAACAACAATAGCAACAACAGCAACAAATGGAAGAAGAACAGAAAAGCTGACAAAAACATCTTCAGTCGTAAACATTTTACAGCAGGCAGCATCAACAGTTTCTGCAGACAATACTTCGCATGCACAACAACAACAACAACAACAAGAATGGCGAGAATAACAACAACAAAAACAGCAATAACAACCAGAGCTACAACAAAGCGCACAATAAAAGTTCTGTGCAAAATCGTTGAAGCCAAAGCCTCGGCTTAAGCCAAAAGCCAACAAGAAGTTGCCAAAAGCGCAAAACAAAAGAAGGAAACCAAGCAGCCAAGCAGCCAAGCAGCCAAACAGCCAACAATATCAGCATTATCCAGCATCCAAATTCCTATAGCATTCAGTTCCCATATCCAGTAGAAATAGAAGAGAAAGAAGAAGAAACAGGAGCAGTCGGCAAGTAGCGCCAAAACTTTTGTGCACAACGCCATGTTTGGTTTGTCTTTTCAGCTTCCGCGCGGCAGTTTTCCTTTTGTCCTCCCTTCCATGTGTGGGTGTGCTTGTGTGTATATACAAGTGTGTAAGTGTTGTGTGTGTCATAGTAGTAGTTGACTTTGTTTTCATCGTTTTCCCAGATTCGCCAGTTTGCTTGTTGGCGCTTTGACTGCCTGAGCACTTCAGACTACTCGACTCTCCGGTTGGTCTTCTTGGTTTGCGCTTTTATGGTGTTATTTTGAGATACATTTTTGTTGCTTCCCACTTTCAAAAAACTTTAAAGACAATTTCTATTTTTATCTGGATTTTGCTGCTACAAAGAACGGCTTAGAAAAGCAAACAAGGTTCCGGTTATTGAAATATGCAACACAAGACTATATTTTCCAGTTTGGACATGGACACAAAATTCGGAATAGTATATCAATGTATGTATCTGAAGTCAATCGCTACAGAGAAATAAATATCTATGATGATAGAAATATGCAACACCAAATTATATTTTCCAGTTTGGACAGCGACATAAAATTCGGAATATATCAATGTATGTATCTGAATCCTTCCCAAATTTTGAAAACCCGAAGTGCTTTGCTTACCTTATTTATAGTTTCGATTTACAATACATTTTTTTTATGTTCGAAGATGTAGTTACTCGAATTTTATACCATTTTTCAAATTGGTGGACGGCAGCCAGTCAATCGCTATACAGAGAAATAAAATCGTTGATATTTCATGGAACGAACATTATTCGGAAATTCAAAGCAAATCGCATTTTGCAAATAAAAATAAACCTTTGATTAGCTCTTGAGATCCTAGATTAAGTAATATTTTTTATGCCAAAGCTGGAAGCTTACTTAAAGATTTGATTTACTGCAGTATATTTCGAAGGAAAATATATGTTAATGGCATATTTATACTCAACCAAAATCGGCATACATGTGAGGAGCCAGGCTACAGACTATCCTTTTTCGGTAAAGCTAGCTCCTACTTTTGGGTGAAGCACTTATTCGTAAATGGAGGGGGTTCCACCTGATTAAAGTAAACCAAGCCGATTTGGCAGAAATGGTTCAGACAGGCTCTATATCGCTGAAGTTGTTTGACCCCATGGCAAATCGTACATAACCGCAACCACAGCACCCTTTTGTCAACATCATCATCAGTAGAAACATCATCATCGTCAGCAACGCCTGGCAGTGTTTATGCTCACAACTTTTGTCGAGCCACAAAAAGTAAAGCAAGCGAAACAAGCGAACACAAGAACATATACTATATGTATGTTAAAACTATAAGTCTTTGGACGCAGAACAAAAAACAAAAGAAGAGAAGAGGCAAGGCCGTCATTTTTTGGTGCTTGGCATTCGGCAGCAGCATCAGCATCAGCAGCAACAACAACACCAGACTGTATTGTAGAAATTGTCGTTCAAAGGACAAGCCCCAAGTTGCTTGCCAAAGTAGTCGAAAAGTGCGAGCATGCAAAGAAATAGCAACAGCAACAACAACAGCAACAACAACAACAACAAATACAACAACTCATACTCATTGCTTAAAATTTATGCCATGACAGCCCCGGGGCCAGCAGCAAATGTAAAAGACGCAAAAATGGTCGCAAGATTTCAATTTCCAAGAAAGCAATATAAAAAAAAATTAAAAAGTTCCCCTTTTCTCAACATGCGCAGAGACGGTAGAAAATGGTTGCCGCTTCTAGTGCGGGGTAGTGATGGACCAATCAACGATAGCTCGAGGTGTGGCTATGCCAGCTGTAGGGAAATTACGCTTGAGAGAATTTCCCAAGTCCATGGGCGGAGGGGAACACACGAATGCCAAACTAGCTGTTAATAATCACTTGAGACATGCGCTCTGTTATTTAGAGTCGAGAAGGGGGAAGCAGGCACGGCGGGGGTTGGTTTCGTGCATGCAACCCTTGCAGGCTCTTCTTCTTGTTGTTGCTATTACCGTCACGTGCAGTTGGGAAATTTGGTGCCCTGTGTTTAGGTTGATTGTTGTTGGGCCTCCACTGTTGCTTTTGTAAACATGCGCAGGCGCACAGCAAAAAATGCATGCAGGGTGAGTGCGAGTGCGAGTGCGAGTATGTGTATGTCTTTCTGTGTGTGTGTGTGTGTGTGTGTGTGTGTGTGTGTGTGTGTGTGTGTGTGGGGTTACATTTCAACTGGTACTTTTGGCAGAAGCAACATTTTTGTCCCATGCTCACGATGGTCTCGGTTTCGGTTTCGGTCTCGGCCTCCGTCTCGGTCTCGGTCTCGGTCTCGGTCTCTCATTCACATTCACATTTTCAGTCGCAGTCGTCGTCGCCGCCTGTTCGGGGGCTGGCAAAGTGAAATGCTTTGATTTGCCTGATTGTTCGATCACATGCAAACTGACAGCGAACGTGGCTGGTTGTCAGCGCGCTTAAAATCAAAATCGACAATACACATATAACAACAACAGAATTAGTTTGGCTTGTGTGTTGAGTCAGGAACTTGTGATTCCCCCTAGAAAATAAAAACCAAATCAAAAATACGAAAAATTAAAGTGTCGCATCAATTGTGAATTTAAATATACAGTTCGATTTTTTTGCCTTCAACACACACACGCGCTCACATTTTCGCATTTGTTTAATAAAATGTTGGAATTTTATCCAATGCCCACAAATCTGAATCAAGTCGGTGGCAGTCTTTATTCGCTGCAACAAAATCATGGCGGTGCGCGTTTTTTGGACAATCCGAATGTAAATAATAATAACAGCAGCAGTAGCAGCAACAACAACAATAATATGACCTGCTTGCCAAATGCAAACAGCAACAACAATAACAACAGCAATGTGCACAACCATTTAACAACAAACATTTCCGGCAACAACAACCCGACAGCAACGGCTTCATTAACGGCAGCTGTAATATCCGCACAGCAACAACAGCAACAACATCAGCATGCTGGCTTGCCAATTAACAGCTGCCCAACACCCACAGGACACAGCCCCAACAACAACAACAACAGCAGTAGCAACAACAACAGCATCACCATCAATGGCAACCAAAACTCCTCCTGCAGCACATTAACAGCTGCTGCTGCTGCTGCGGCAGCGGTGGCAGCGGCTGCGGCTGTGGCAGCGACGTCATCGGTAGGGTCCGGGTCCTGCCCGACAACGCCAGCATCAGCATCAGCATCGGCAGCAGCAGCAACAACAGCAGCCGCAAACTCGAACACACCAGTGACCATGCCAGTCGGCTCCTGCTCCTCCTCCTCATCATCTTCAACGTCAACTTCTAGCTCCTCCGCATCCTCAACGTCTTTGTCATCCACAGGAGTGGGGATGGGAGCCGGTACAGGTACAGGAGCAACGTCTACGTCGGCATCGAAATTGTCTGCCGATTGCAGTGGACGTACAGGTATGTTCCAAAAGTATTTTTCACCGGCAGTCGAAGCATTTTCTGTCCGTTTCGTTCCCATTTCTGGGGTCTTCCGCGTTTTTCGCTTTTCGCATACCTCTGTGTGCGTGTGTGCGAGTGTATGTGTGGGTGTGCACTTAGCAAAATCAAATTAGCTCTTAATTCCGCTTTAAAGAAATTTATTTTCTGTTTATCTATTTCTGCTTCCACTTACATATTGAAAGAGTTCACTCTCTCCGTTTGAAAACCTATTTCTACTAGCCTAGATGCGTGTATAATTTTTGGAGAAAAACTAAAACTAATGAATATATAATCATTATTATTTGTAAATATTTGAAGAACGTTTTCAGATAATTTGTTAATTTGTTACGCGATCAAAAAAGGCATTAGCGGTTTCGTTTTATTGAATCTGTTGTCCTTTGAGAGCTAATTTTCATATGGAACCACCATCCGAATAACTTTAATTGTATTACAAGCTCACCGCCACTTCATTTTAAGCTGAAAAAAAATGAAGCACTAGGAAAATACTTCATCTATATCTCCTTTATTGCTCCTGCAGAAAAGGGACTCTATTTGCATACAATCATTTTATCAATGGGCTTTTATAATCGATCCACGGTTATATAGATTTCAGAATAATTACTAAAAAGGGCAAACAATTAAACATGTTTTGTATTAAATTCGTTGCAAAAACATTTAAAACAGTTATTTTGTTCTAGCAGCTTATTCGACTTTCAATTTAAAATAATAATATTTGGCTTGGTACATGCCTACTTTAAATGTAAATGTAGTGGAAATGTAATAGATGAGTTAATATTTCTAATCAGAAATATTTATTTATAATAGTGTTTAAATAAAAGCAATACAATTTTTGCAACACTTGCTTTTAAAAAGTGCTAGATCCATTTGCGGCAATAAAAGATATCTATGAGCTTTGACTATTATCCTGAATTAAACTTTGTATTTCTGTAAGTGTAAAGGTGTGCGCTTGTCCGTGCTTGTGTCCGCTTGTCTAGCGCCGAACTTGCGACTATCGTTGAATGTTGCCGTCGCTGCTTCGAGCTCCCCAAGTTGCCTGCCGCAAATTGTTGTTGCCTCTTGCGTGTGATATTCTAGGTTTTGAGGCAGTTTAAGCCTTTCACTTGTTGTTGCTTCTGCTGGTGTTGTTATTGTTGAATTAATTTGCATTTTGTTTATTTAAAAATGTTCCCTCTTTTTTCCCGTATACCATTCTCCCCAAGCACTTGAGCAAAAGTTTTTTTTTTGCCAGCAAATGAGGCAAGTGGCATGTGCGTGTGGCCCACGCGTTTGTGGCTCTCGGTGGGGCATCTGTTCTTATTGTTGTTGTAGCTGTTGGCGACTGTCGGGCATCCCTTTCTGCAAATTTAATGTGTGCGTTAATAGTCTGTTGGCGCTTTCAAGGTTAATTGAGCACTCTAATGCTTACAAAATATTTAAAGTTTTCCTTCGTTGCTCAAAGTTGCTGTAGGGGTGTGTGCCTGTGTGTTTTATTGTTAGGAATGGTTTAACCGCTGGATTAAAGCTAGGACGCATTTATTGCAAATATTTGAATAATAAATTAGCAACATTGATTAAAATGTACAATTTCCAATTTATCGGAATTATATTGGGTCAAACGGAGTGATAAAATCTTTTTTTGTTTGTTTGAATGTTAAATTGCCTTCTAATTTTTTTTTTTTTTTTTGTTAAAAATGTATATATAATTTATTAAACTATTTTTCTATGTATCTATGTATATACAATATTTACAATCCCCCCCACAAGGGATCTTGTGGGGAGATCCTTTGGATGGCACTTCTTCAGTCTTCTCTTCTTGGGTTTGGACAGGAGCCGCCTCGCTAGTGAGTTGGGGTGACTGCCGAGTCGCTTCTCGTAACTTCTACTTTTTGAAATAGATTTTATTTTACAAAGAGATACGGTTTACATATGTAGCTTTCCGGGTGAGTTTCAGAATAGCTATAAATACTTGTACTTAGTCCAACACTTTGTTAAGAATTGAGTACTTGTTTAAATTCTAAGTGTAATATCATAGACTTAATGGCAAAAACGTTCGACATACTGTTAAGTCTAAATACATTTTGTGTGTAAAATCTTATGGAAAAGAAATCAGTGCAGTATTTACTGAATTTATACAATCAGTTGATGTTAAATACTCTGTTCTGAATTTTGCTTTACAATTTAAGACAAATGTTCAATAACGTTCATCAATTCATAATTTTATTCACATAGGCTTTATATTTCATTGCTTGCTTTTTATTTCGCATGTCCTTACGGAAATAAAATAATGTAGATATATATTATTTGAAGCATATTATCTTCCTTTCGCCGCTGTTGCATAAACAAACCAAATAAATACAAAATTGTGGCCAGCGAAGAGACAAAATCTAAATTAATATTTTCGAGCAAATATTGGCAATCAATTTGTATGACAAGTACACAACGAGCGCGTAATGCTTTCGGGCAAAAATATGTTCAAAACTATGAACACAAGCTGACCGCAAAATAATTTTGACAATGAACCACACAGAAGGCAGGCAGCGGGATCACCATCCTGAAAGACCTGAAAGAGCCTGCCCGGCCTCAGCCTCAAAGTAGGCAACACTTTTTAGATGCAGCGGAAAGTGTTGGCTGCCCAAAAACTTTTGCAAAATTTTGCCCGAAATGCAAAGTGTGCGAACAATTTTTGAGTGTGTGTAAGTATGTGATGCGTGTGCATCAGTTGGGGATGTGGGGGGGCGAGTCCAAGCACACGCAAATATTTGGACAGCACAAACAGACGCACACTCGCACACATATGAATTGTTTGCCTTTTGGCAGCAAACTTCATATTTGCATACGAGCATGAGAATCAATAGCTCAAATTTCTATTAATGCCTTTTCGGCTTTTCCCAATGCCAGAACAGTGGCAGCAAATAGTTTCCGTTTCCGCTTTGCCCCAAAACCTTCGAAAATCGTTTGCCAATCACTTGCCGTTCAGCTCTTAGCTTTGAATTTGAATTTGACACTAGCGCCAGGAGCAGCAACAACAAGTTTAGAAGGTATTTAATGGCATTTAGGCGACTAAGAGCTAAGAGTTGTGCTTTATTGGTGTGCCCGGCCCACTCGCATCCACAGACCACGGAAATGAACACACCCGGTATCAGGTATGCGCATGTGAGCGTCTCAACATATCTGGTTGCTGCGGTCCCTGTAAGAAGTTGCCAGCACACTACTCCTTAATCGTAGATTCATAAGCTCAACTGAAAGATAAATATGATTTTATTTTATTTATAGTTCGATTCATTGCTTAGATAAATCATAATGCGACCTGAGCATACTTATATGAATTCTTCATCTTAATATAATTTTCTCAAAAGTTTTTAAGTTAAAAGTATAAATAGAATTATTTAAAATATCTAAAATGTGATACAATTTTTAAGTGCTCTACATATTGACAATTGTGCAGTAGTTTTGCTTTATTAACTTCATTCAAGTTTACAATCGTTATTGATATTCGGTTCCGAAACTTTATCGGCATACTAATGTCGTGTAGTATGTCGATGTTGGCAATTATGCGCCATATGCCCACAGCTTTCTCACTTTCGCTTCAGTAATGCGGCTCCTGTGGCTCACTGTCCCAGACCGTGCGAGTGTAGGTGTGTTTTGCTATTGCTTCTAGCTATACCATATACATACATAAATGCTTTAAATTACAGTTAGTGTAATTAAAGTTGCCCCTTTGCTGCGCCTTCAGGTGCTGTCATAAGCTGTCTGCTCATACGTATGCGAGTAAGCCAAAAAGGTGGGGGCCACGTGCACTTTATGCCACAGATTCGTAACTTTGGTGGCCTGTCAACTCAACTCAGCTAAACAGAATTCAACTCAATCTCCATAGAGCTGCGCTTGCCTGTCAATGTGTCCAATAAATGCGTCATATAGTGCTCTGGCTTCATATCCATATTGATAGTCGGGGCTTTGTGCTCATGATGATAAGCACGTCCTGTTATCGTTCAGTGTGCTGATAACAAGCCCGTCGACCGTTCTCCTATATGTGGCGCGAACATTTACTGTTTGCTTATCGTTAAGTTGATTTTGGATTTATCTGGTGTTTAATCTAGTTGACATGAGTGCGCCGCACTTGTTCTAGCTGTTGGCCCTTGTTTGTTGTTGTGTTGCTGTTGAATTTTTCCCCCAACAAGCTTCACTACATGTTGACCAAGAAAAATCAATTAATGCAGTTCAGTACATTCGAAAATATTATTTAATATTATAAAATACAAGTCCTAGTATTTTAAAATATTTCGATTCATTTGTATCGAATACCTACATAATAATAATTGAACAATTATGCTACAGGAATCAAATCGAATGCCCCGACCTAAGAATAAAAATTCGGAAACTGTGATTATTTAAAATCAGCGATCACGCTTTATATCACAACCGAACCCAAATTTAAATAAATATTGTCGCTCGACAATATAAAATTGCTAAAATGAAACCATATTTTAAAAGTAGTTCCAAATTACTTTTTGATTTTTCTTTTTCGTAATCTGTCGGTATTTGATATGAAATAATTTTAAAACTAATATAAAACTTTTCTTTATTTCATACAAATTAGATAGTTTTCGAAACTCACGAAACTTCTTAATATTTCAATTTAAAATGGCACTTTCCATAGCATTAAAAAGTTAATTAATCTATCAAATGAAATCAAATAAATATACCAAATTCTATTACGTATTTGATCTCATTAGAATTGGCTTTTCATATTGCAAAGCACCACACATCCATGAATGAAGAAACACAATTGTCTGTTCACAATGCTATGCTCGCGTTTCGTTTGTTTAGTTTAGACCGTGAAAAAATGGAAATCGGCATAAAACTGCAGAAAATGTCATAAATTTCGATTAGATTACACAAACGCAACGTCGATGGGCGCCACTAAGACCGATTGCAACAATGGACACAATATGCAGGCAATGGCTAAAGTGGCAAAAAAAAATTTAAAAAAAAAAGTTGAATGGGAACATTTGAAAATTCCGCTTCACAAGAGCTTTATCAAAAGATCCATTGCCGTGCTCAGCCACAATGCCACGCCCACACACCGTATACAACAAAAAAGGTTTGTCACTGCACAATAGATGGCGAACTTCTATGAACGGATGAATTGATGATTCATTGAGCTTCAGAGCACATTGCAATACAATGTTGCTTAACTTTATTTATTTTGTGTAGCATACTTTGGAGCGCTGTGTTTGAAATGTGGCTAAAGGGGCGTGAGTGTGTAGGTGTGTGTGAGTGGGCTGAGGCTCTTGTTAAGTTAACGCTGCACTGACTGGCTTAGCTCATAAAGCTCTGGCGCCCCAAAACAGTTAGCTAACAAACAAACACTTCAACACACTTTTTCGACTCTTTCGGCCGTAGCTCACTCACATATTTGAACACACACACACACACACACACGCGCATACATAGGCAACGTCATACATCAGCGTTGGCAGCGCCATTGTGTCAACCATAAATCATGCACATTTTTCTGCCACTGAGCCGCAGCCATATAATATAACACCACCGTGCCGCTTTCCCACTCCCCCCCCCGCTTTCTTTTAGTCGCTTCAATTTTTAGCTACTTGCGCGAATTACATATACATATATACAGATATGTACATGCATATATGTACATAGTTAGTTATACTTGTATGTGTATATTGCTACAGCAGTGTGGGTAATTTTATTTTTGCTGCAGCTTTTCCAGCGTATTCAGGTACTACTTTTTATGACTGGTTTACAGTTTCAAGTATGCTTGTGTGTGTACAGTAGATTAGTGTAAATATGTATCCGAGTGCTTGTGTATGTATGTATGTATGTGTGCGTCTCTGTGTTCCCAAACAAATCGCGCGTGTTGGGGCAGCCGTTCTTCATATGACTTGTCCTCTAAATGTTGCTTGTTGCTAACTAGCCTGGCATTTCCATCTGGACTGAAACACATTGTGACAGTTGGAAAGCTTTAAAGCAGGAAGTGACTCGATTTATCCATTTTGTAACACAATATCTTGGTAATCAATTCAATTTATTTTGATAAAACTTTGTTTTAAATGCTGTTTCGTTATTGGGAACTAGAACAACTGCCAAGCGGCGATCATCTTTTCTCTTTGTAAAAATTATCTTTTTTTTTTTTAATTCGTGCAACAAAATAAGCTTTAATTAAATATTTCGTTGTTTTAAGCCTGTTATCTCACAATAGAAATTTAAAACCAACTACATACTAATATATTGTTTATATATGTATTAATTCTAAGTATATCAATGATATAAAGAAGCATTCATTTGAAACTTCGTCTATTAATATAAAATAAAAGTATATTTGTTCAATAAACAAAATGATCAAATTGAAATCGAATTAATCTCTGATCTCAAGTAGATTGAATTATTTTAATAATTGTTTTTTTTTTTCGAGTTCATGGAAGTTAATATATTTTTGCTTTTGGCATAGTTTTAATCAAAATGTTTACTATAATAATATTTCACTACCTAGTCTGTTCTTCTATCCGTAAAAATGGAAAGCATACCATTTTTTTTTTTTTTTGTTTTATTAATTTATACGAAGTGTTATTATTATTAAACTAGTATTCCACTATCTATTCGACACTTTAATCTGATTATAAACATTTCATCATTTGTTTATGGCAAAGGACGAAATGCGAATTCTGAAAGTGGAATTGTTTTTGGGTTCCAATTAAAGTTCGCAGCTACAACCAAGTTGAAATTAGCTTTCCACGGTTATATTTTACATTTGCAAATAATCAACTCATGTGGAAAATTCTTAGTATTGTGAGGCAGACGGTGCCCTTGTCAGTAACTGTTTTTGGCTTCGGCAATTGACATTTTCTTTGGCTCGACAGCATCAGCTTTCGCATATCACAAAATAACAAAAAAAAAGAAAACAGAAAACTTAACGTTTCAATTACGCATCAACAAGCTATCAATACAAGCTGTTGCAGTCGGCGACAGATAATTTTTTTGTGTTCCACATTTCGATTTTTCTTTTCCTTTCTTTTTTTGTCTTTTTGAAGCACTTATGACGGAGAGTGCAGAACAAAGAGCAAAAAAAAACAGCTAGAGCAACAACAACAACAGCAGCACTACCTCCAAGTAAAAGGGAAGAAGAAGAAGAACAATGAGAGCAAGGCAGGCAAAACATTTTCGCACGATTTGATTTTTGCTGCTGTTGGCTCCCAAGTTGGCGTTGTTGCCAATGTGCCTCTTGTTGCTATTGTTGTTGTCGCCAGCACATGTCATGATAATTTTGCAGGGACATATGTTGCCAGAGAACGCACAGACACACAGACACAGACACACACACACATACGCACACTGGTAAATTTTACGACTAGCAGCGCGCGTATCAAGCCATAAACATGAATTAAATCGATTTTATAACTCACTCCTTTCCCTCTCTCTCTCTCGCTCTCGCTCTCTCTATCTTTGCTTTTCATAGAGGTCGGCCACATAAAGTGCGAGAAGAACTACGAGCTGTGCGAGGGCTGCGGCCAGAAGATTCACGACCGCTATCTGATGAATGTGGGGGATGCCAACTGGCACGAACAGTGCCTGGCCTGCTGTTATTGTGGTCTGCAGCTTCACCACACCTGCTATGTGAGGAACTCGAAGCTCTACTGCAAGCTGGACTACGATCGCCTGTTTGGCGTGAAATGCGCCGCCTGTTGTCATGCGATCCTGCCGCAGGAGCTGGTCATGCGTCCCATACCCAATTACGTTTTCCACTTGCCCTGCTTTGTCTGCTACGCCTGCCGACTGCCGCTGCAGAAGGGCGAGCAGTTCATGCTGCGGGATGGCCAACTGTTCTGTTATCGGCACGATCTGGAGAAGGAGATGTTCCTGGCGGCTGCGGCAGCGCAGCACTGCGGGTTTGTCGGGCTAGATGAGGAGGATTTGTTGCGGCCACGTGATGGCAGGCGTGGCCCAAAGCGACCCCGCACCATTCTCACCTCCCAGCAACGCAAACAGTTCAAGGCCTCCTTCGATCAGTCCCCCAAGCCATGTCGGAAGGTGCGTGAAGCTCTGGCCAAGGACACGGGCCTATCGGTGCGAGTGGTGCAGGTCTGGTTCCAGAATCAACGCGCCAAAATGAAGAAGATACAACGCAAGGCCAAACAGAATAGCGGCAGTACGGGCAGCGGCAATGGGCGTGGCAGTGGCAGTAGCGCTGCCGAGGACAAGGATCATGTCGAGAAGGAGGAGAAGTGCGTCAAGCAGGAGCTTGGCATCGATGGCAATGTGGGTGGTGGCTACCTATCTGGTCTGGACAGCGCCTTTTCCAGCCAGCCCCTCAATCCCAACTTGCCCTTCTCACCAGATGGTAAGTAGATTATTAGCAAGTTGGTACAAAGATTTCTAATGGTCCTTATATAAATCGAGCTTTAGTTCTACATGCAGGAAGAATGCAGATCTCTCTAAACACATTTTTCACCAAGCATACATATACGAGTAGGAATTCAATTAAGAGATATGACAGTTTTACTAAAAGAATAAAAGTCCCATTTTGGAACTATTTTTTATGTGTTTTTGATCACGAAGATCGGCTATTTTAAACAAAATAATGTCAATAATGGACATAAGAGTACATTTGGAAGCAATACATATGTACATATATTCTCTTCTAAGGAAACTAATAAGCTGCTTGTATTTTGATTCGCATTTGAGGATCGACAAATATATACGAATTTTTTCCCCAAGTATTTTTATTTTTATTTATTTTGAGATACATTTTAAGAGACCAGCCAAAATATCAACTTGTTAATGACTCAATATGCCAAGATAGTTGCACTTACTAATCAAAACGTTCTCCTTCGCAGATTACCCCGCTAATTCAAATGACAGCTTCTGCAGCTCGGATCTCTCGCTGGATGGCAGCAACTTTGATCAGCTGGACGACGATGCCGACTCGTTGTCCCTGAACAATCTGGAACTGCAATCGACCAGCTCTTCGGGAAACCAGCATTCCAATCCACATGACATGCTAGCCAATCTGAACACCAGTCTCATCAATCCCATAGACAAGCTATATCTAATGCAGAACTCGTACTTCAGCTCGGAGCAATAGAAGACGGCTACGATAACCGGGAGAAGAAGGGTTCCACGAATTTATTAGAGTTAGAGTTATCGGCTCCATTTCCGTTAGCAGCGCCCGCCACAATTGTAGATAATTTGGTAGAATACATCGCCAGCGTTCTTAGGCCTTGGGGCAGCGTTTACTTTAAAGCTTAGACATGTCCTAAAGATTGGAGATTAACTTCAATTGATTTGTCATGCAGCATTCAAGTTGCTAATTGTAATAACGAAAACATCAAATGTGATTTTTTTTCTAAGATTAACACAAAGTATTGGTTAGACCTTCTTTTAGGAGAAGGCGTTGTGAATGAGTTTGGAATGCATAATTAATTGTTAGTTGGAGTAAGTGCAAAAAACCATAAATAAAATAAAGATAAATGAAATATATGTAAACCTATCTATGTTTGTAAATAGTTTTAAACGCAGAAATTGTTATAAAAATATGTCATTTAAACTTAATGCCAGTCAAAGTCAATAAATATTGTTGTTGTGTATCAGGCCGCGTATATTTCCAGAATGTGTTACAATTCAAAATGTGTAGCTAAAGGGCACAAGATCAATGTGACCAGGTGACACTTTTACAATAATACTTAACAAGGTATCGAATACCTAACATGCCTCTCCTTAGCTTTGTCATAACACTCAATAAAATATATACATTTGCATTGATACATGTTTAACATTATGAGATATTTAACAATTAACAAAACAATTATTCATGGAGTTCAATAGAGATTTCATCATAAATTCAGGTCTAAATTCAACTTAATACATTTCATTTTGTTTTCTTAATTGCAAATATTTGATTCATAAGTTTCATTTTCTATTTTTAATTTTTAAGTGGAAGGCTTAACAACCTTTCCCTCTATACGTGGTCTTAGCTGTCTTCTGGTTGGTGTTGGTTCAGAAGGAATTACAGTGTCATTTTGACTTTTAGATTCACTTGAACAATCACTTTCGATTTGATTATCTCGTTTTTCTGTTGCAATGTGTTTGCTTTCTTGATTTCTAATTTGATTTAAATGTCGTTTTATTTCACGATTGTTATGAGTTAAGATACAACAATAAGATCGAGGTCCCAATTGTTGGCTAACTGTTGCTTGAGTCCAACTTGCCTTGTTAGGATTTTTATAGTCCCTGACCATAACCTTTTGACCTTCTTTAAATCTTATGTCGCGATTACCTCTGTAACTCATGACACTATCCTCCTGCTTTTTGCTTATTTGATCATGTACAATTGGAGGTTTTAAAAACGAAAATCTGGTCTTTAGTTGTCTACCAAAGAAAAGTTTGGCTGGCGATTCGCCGGTCGTGCAATGAATCGTGTTTCTGTAATCTATTAAAAATCTATTCAGGATTATGTCAAAACTAGAATTGCTGTTAACTTTAATGCTTGCATTTATTGATTTTTTTACAGTCTTTACAAAGTTTTCAGCTTGGCCATTTGTCGCTGGATGACCAGGAGCTGTCAAAACATGCTTTATGCCATTGTTGGCCATGAAAATGCGAAATTCCTCTGAAGTAAATTGTCTACCATTATCAGACACTAATACATCAACTAGACCATATCTACAAAATAATTCTCTTAAGGTTTTTATTGTAAACGATGACGTAATTTCCTTTGTTTTAAAAACTTCTACCCATTTAGAGAAAGAATCTACACATATCAATAAATAAAAATTATTTATTGGTCCTGCAAAATCTACGTGTATTCTACTCCATACCTGACCATTTGATTTCCACGGTATCAAAGTAGACTTTTCTGGACTTGGTTGTGATTCCTGACATGCGATACATTCTCTTATTAAATTTTCAATTTCTAAATCCATATTTGGCCACCATACGTATGAGCGTGCTAACATTTTTGTTTTCACCATTCCTAAATGAGATTTGTGGAACTCTTGTAAAACTTGATTCCTAAGTTTTGTTGGAACTATTACACGATGACCCCATAAGATACAATCGTACTCAACTGTTAGCTCATTTGCTTTATTTATGAAATTTGAGAATTCAGCCTTGTTTAATTTTTGTAGCGATCCAATTTTAATGGCTTCGCACACCTTTGAAAGGATTGAATCATGCCTTGTTTCACGAGCAATACTCTTGAAATTCAATTTAAACGGTATATCAGATTGAATGAAGTTAATATAATTGTATTCCTCATCTTCGTTTGATTTGTATAACTGAGGCATCCTTGAAAGTCCGTCAGCCTCGTTTAATGAACCCTTTATGTGTTCAACTGTGTACTGAAATCCTGACAATATTAAAGCCCACCTCTGCAAACGTGCAGACGCCATAAGTGGCAATCCTTTTTTATCTCCAAATATTCCCAAGAGGGGCTTATGATCAGTTCTCAAGATGAACTTGATCCCTAGAAGGTATTGTTTCAACTTCATTACACTATATACAATCGCGAGAGCTTCCTTATCCAGTGTGCTATAATTAATTTCACTTTTTGATAAGGCTCTGGAAACAAATGCTATCGGTTTAAGACCATCAGCAAATCTATGTGCTAGTACGCCAGATACGGCATTACTACTGGCATCAGTCGTTAAGACAATAGGCAAGTTTGCGTCATAATGCACTAAGACTTGTTCTGAAGTTATCTCACTTTTAATTCTCTCATATGCTTTGTTACATTCAACTGTCCAAACAAATTTTGAATCTTTCTGCAAAAGTACATATAATGGACTCATTATCTGTGCGAAGTTTTTAACAAACTTTGAATAATAATTCACCATTCCAATGAATGCTCGTAATTCAGATACATTTTTAGGTGTGGGTGCTAGTAAAACGCTGGAAACTCTATCAACATTTTTGCTTAATCCGTACCTGTCTATTGAGAACCCTAAGTAACGAATTTTAGATTTGAAAAATTCACATTTGTTTGCATTTAAAGTTAGTCCGGCTGATTTCAGCTTGCTAAGAACTGTTTTTAAATTTGAAATGTGTTCTTGAAGATTGCTTCCTGTTACTGTAATGTCGTCCTGATAAACTACGACTCCTTTTATTCCTTGGAATAAACATTCCATTGTCTTTTGGAATATTGCTGCTGCTGTTTTTATACCAAAAGGTAATCGTTTGACTTTTAAAAGTCCAATATGTGTGCTCCATGTGCACAACAACTGAGATTGCTCATCTAGGTGCAACTGGTTATAAGCATTGCTTAAATCAAGTTTAGTGTATAATACGCCTCCTTGAAGTGCTGCAAAAATATCATCAATTCGTGGTAACGGATATCGTACATCGACTAATGATCTATTTACGGAAACTTTGTAGTCTCCACAAATTCTTATATCACCATCTGGCTTAAGAATCGGAACCAATGGGGTTCCCCAATCAGAACTATCAACTTGTTCTAAAACTCCTAACTCAATCAAAGCGCGTAATTTTTGTTCAACGCGGTCTTTCCATGCTAATGGTAGCGGCCTAGGCTTGAAAAATATTGGCTTGGTGTTTTCCGCTATTTGTAACATAATTTTGCTCCCATTAAAAGAACCTAATTCGGGTCTAAACACATCTGCAAATTCACTTTTTATTTGTTTTGTAAGTACAGAGAGTTGTTCACTTTCGCTAACATTGTTAACTTGAACTAATTCAAAATTAAACGATCTCAAAAATGTTCTACCAAGTAAAGCTGGACTCATTGTTTTCGCAACTACTATAACCATTTCTTTTCTTATGCCTCGATATTCAATTGTTGCATCGTACTCACCGACAATTTCAATAAGACGACCATTGTAGTCCATGTACGGAACATTACATTCTCTGAGCGGCTTCTTCATCACTGCCTTCTCATAAACTGAATATGGAATAATTGTACAAGATGCTCCAGTATCGCAAGTGACGTTCATGTTACAACCATCAATTGTAACCGGTAACACGTAAACCTCACCAGAAGAAGTTGGTGCCACGCTAAATACAGAAAAATTAAATTCATTTAGCTTAGTATCTAACATAGGATCTTCAGATTGTAAATTCGATACGCAATTTATTCGTTTTGAATTACATACGCTCGCCAAATGACCCTTCTTCCCACAAGTGTGACAATTTAGATGTTTGTACTTGCACTCTTCAGATCGATGATTTTTCCAACCACAGTGCACACAGAATTTCTGCTGCTTTTTGCCTCTGCCTGCGTCGCCGTCACTACCGTCGCTGCTACTGCTTTTGAAGTTCATCCCATGTGATCTTCCGTTGCCCTTGAAACTTCCAGTGTCATAACTGCCGTTGTTTCTATTGTTGCAGTTTCGCTTTTTTCTTTGATTTGCGCTGCTTCTGTTCACGTAACTGATGTTCTCTCCTGTCCTCTTTGCAAAATCTTTGGTCTCCATTATCATTGCCTTTCTTAGTGCGTCAGAAAGAGATAGACGTTCATCTTCTTCGCACATGCGTTCAAATATTGCATTAGGAAGACTCATCACAAATTGGTTAAGTACGAATGCTTCCAAATAGACACCAAATTTACAGCTACATGCCAACTGTTTTAAACGGGCATACCATTCTGCAATTGTCTCATTTTCGCCTTTGACTGCCATATGAAACTTTTTTCGTTCTCGAAAAACAAGTGTAGGTGGTGTGTAGTGCGTTGAAAGTATTTCGCAAATTTCCTTGTATGACTTTGATACAGGTGAATCTGGACTGCATAAACTGTGTAATACACCATACGGGCCTGTTCCAATTGATTTCAACAACGTTGATTTTTTTGCATTTTCTTCACTCACACTTTGCTCGCACATGTGTATTTCAAATTTTTCTTTCCAAATTGCAAACGTTTCACTGTTTGGCACAAACTCGGGTATGCTTATCATGTGATAAAATTGTGGAGTTATAGGTGCTGCTGTAGTCATGCTGGTCATTTATTTGTTCTTCTTTAACTTTTATTTTCTTAACCTTTATTTTCCTAACTTTTATTTTCCTCGTCGCCAATTCTGTTGTGTATCAGGCCGCGTATATTTCCAGAATGTGTTACAATTCAAAATGTGTAGCTAAAGGGCACAAGATCAATGTGACCAGGTGACACTTTTACAATAATACTTAACAAGGTATCGAATACCTAACAATTGTATTAGCAAGTGTAGGTGCATTTTAATTGATATTAAACTAATTGGATGGGTGATCAAGTTGGGGCGATAATAAACAATGACGATATTGCATATGGTATATGTATGTACATATGTTTGACGAAAAACATATTTTTTGACTCTTGAACAATTCGCGGTGCTGTTAGCGCCATCTAATGGTTCCCAAAGTCAAAGAAATTTATGGTGTTCAGTGTTCTCTAGCGGCGGGAAAAAATATTAATTTCATTGGGTCTGGCACTCTCGATCTAACAAAATAATTTCTGATTATTACAAGTGGCAACGCTTCGCATTTATTTCGATACAGCTGCTTTTCGATAGCTGGAAAATTCGATTTCAGTGTTTTTCGCTTATCGACTGGCAATGCTAAGTAGCAATGGTAAGCGACAATAAACAATAATGCAAAATTTATACAGTAAATAATTGAGTGAATTATGCATTAACAAGTTCTCCTCCCCCTAGCTCTTTTACTCGTTCTTCAAGTCGCTTGTGGGCAAGGAGGTTGTCGTGGAGCTGAAAAATGATCTCAGGTAAGTGTTGTTTTTGCCGGCAAACGTTTGCATTTGTAGCGTTGTTGACACGCGTGCCAGCAGTAATTTGTGGGTTTAAAAATTGTATTTAATGTGCGTTTCTTGCAGCATATGCGGCACTCTAAACGCTGTGGACCAGTACCTTAACATCAAGTTGACAGACATCAGTGTAACAGATCCAGAAAAATATCCGCACATGTTGAGCGTGAAGAACTGCTTCATTCGTGGTTCAGTGGTTCGCTATGTGCAGCTGCCTGGTGATGAAGTGGACACACAACTGTTACAGGATGCTGCGCGAAAGGAGGCGGTTGTGAGCACTAGATAGGCATGCTATTAAGGCTTCGCCTTTGACTTAAGTTAAACTTTTTTAATTTGCAAGAGCAAAATAGTCGAAAAGTATGTACAATTTGGGTAATTTGAATAATGTCTGCTCTACGTCTACTTCTGTAAGCAAATTAACTTGATAAACGAATCTAGAAGCTATGTTGAAGATATTACAAATGGAATTTTTTATTTACGGGCTTGTGAAATCGAGAAAATCTGTAATATTCTACATGTCAGTAAGGAAAGCCCATACTGAGCCAACATTCATTTATACAAACACGTTGATGTCTAAAGATAAGTTGATATCTACAGAAACGTCTTTATTAAGTTGTAATGCGTATTTGTCCCTTGAGCAGCGAAATACGTGGTTTGTGTGTGTTCTTTTACCGGGTACTATGTCCCTATCTCCATGGTAGACAATTTGTGGAGTTGCATGGCGGCTGAAAATCTTCCGCCAATTTTTTAACTAATACTTAAACTGAACTACATGAAATGTACAGGAATTTATGTATTACGTTTGCGGGAAGTGAAAAATGGAACAGGCAGAAAGAGGCGTGGCAGACCCCACAAACTACATATTTATAATCATGATCAGCATGACACGATAGTCGATCCAAAAGTTGAGACACAGATGCCTTATGTGTATTCAGCTTATCTACTTGCTCATTATTTTGAGTGTAGGGTGTTTTCCATGTCCCCACCATTTATATATTCCTCCTCGAGTCTCGATCTCATTTTTGAACACAGTTATGTGTTAATTATGAGTATCCAATTTAATTTGAACTCAAATATTCGGAGCGAGCTTAGAGTCGCTTAAAATACTTGAAACAGTTTTCAATTTAGTAACTTCTATTTTCTGCTTGACTTGAGAAAAAATGAATTTTAATCTATATTATTGTAAATAGCTTATTTCAGTGTAACCAAATCAAATACACTTAAAATACCATTCAAAAAGAACAATTTCAAATTTCGCGCATACATTGTAAAATAATTGAGTTTAAGCGGTATGTTGCAGATATGCATCATAGGCATACGAATGTTTAATAAACAATCGCTGTTTTAAGACAATATTTGCTGTAGTTGTTGGTGCCATATGTGTGTTGGTGTGTGTACCATGAATTTCGCTCCAGTGTGTGTGTCATAACGGAATTTCCTACAGTCAGTTTAGCAATAAATGTGACTTGGAGGTCAAGCAACGCTGTCAGCGGATCAACGATGATTTTCCGAGTTAGTGACATTCAGAAGAATTTGTATAATCTTAAATGTTAACATATGTAATAAATTTTTTGGTTTTTCTACTTGTACAAGATGTCCTTAAGATGCTTATATGTAAATGAAGAGAGGTCTAGTGCAGAAGGGTGTAGGCAGGGGGTTGGCAATGCCCTCGCACTGTTTTGCTTAAATGGAACTCATGTGGATTTCTTGAAGGTTTTCTTGTAATCGTATGCATGCATTATTATTTTAACCGTGCACCGTGCATTATTTAATAAAAATTTTAATTTTTTGGTGCATATACAATATGGTCTTTCATTAACTGTGAAGCATTAAAACTAATATTAAATTTCACATCAATAAAAAATATTAAATAGCCAACTTAAAGTTATCTTCGATTGCTGGGAGAGAGGTGGGCGGACGTACATCGCAATTCCGCCTTGTCATGTTGTCCATACAATTTCAAATTATAAACATTCTTGTTATTTTTTATTCTTAAACCATAATTTTTAATATATTATATACATATGTATGTACTTATTATATTTTGCAACTATCTGGCGACCTTTAACCCAAAACTGTAATGATTCATAAAAAGTATTTATTTTATATAGAATCATATGGCCTTCATAATGAATATGTTCAGATAAAACGATTATCATTTTTTGTTTTAAATAAAATAGTTTAGTTTCTTCTGTGTATTTTTGTGGATGGAATATTCGGTGGTTTGCACTAGGACGTAATGATTCATCTGTAAGGGGCATATAAATCATAGTAAATAATGCTTTTCAGACACCCGCCCACATTGGGATTAGCGCTAGTTTAACATGTTATATATAATTTCTTGTATAGATACATATGTATTATTTACATATTCTTGCGCATGAACTTATGCCGAACATTCATAATTCACTTGGCCTCAGAAACTGTTGACAGCAGAAAATGAGCATGAAATTAAATGGTGTATAAAGATTTTGCAAAGTTTTAAAGAAATGCCCGCAACAGGCCGGAAGAGAAAGCTCAGAAGTCGGATCTAATCCTATAGTTCTCAGAAGAAAAAACAATTGAATATTGTTGTTACAGAAAAGGTAACATTTTTAAAACTCCTACTTACTGAAAACCCAGTCATCTATGCGTCTGCACTCTTCAAGAGATTGGTGACGACAAGAGCTGTAGGGAAAATGAGCACGGAACAAAAAACGCAACTATGAAAAGAAAACCTTTTAAAAAATGTTCGTCGACGATGCGACGAAGAACAACCATCTAGGGTCAATGGAAATTAAACTTAAGGCTAGTAACGACATAGAATATGTATTTACGATGTACTTTAAAGATTTTTACTTAAGGAACAATAAAATCTTTACAATTAAAACTTATTGTATCAAAAATAGCTGGGAGATATTTAGGCGGTGTTATTGTTTAAAGCAAAGGAGAAATCAAGCTAAAATGTCAATTATATGTAAATGTGTGTATGTACATCAGTATATAAATATAGTCGGTGCGTATGTGTGTATAATACTATACGTACATCGTATCGAATACTTCTCACGCTACTCATGCAGGAGGTGCCGAGCAGTTGCCACAAAAACAATTCGAAGCTATGTGAATGCGCGTGTTTAAATGCAGCGACCTGGGCGTGTGATATCGAAACCATTGAAATTGAAAACACTCAATGAAAAGTTTTGCGGTGCAGCCTGGGATTGAATTGAATTTGGCATGCCAGCAGTGTTGACGATGTTGTTTTGGGAAGGGGAGGACCCTTAGCACTGCCGTGGCAAGTTAGGGTGTGACGTACACGCCCTTTGCCCTTCCCTCCACCGCCACCCCCATCCGTTCAACCACCACCATATTCGTCTCCGTGTGTGTGTGTGTTTGCAACTGACCCACATCAACTCTTTCGTATGCGTATTGCACCATTGAAGTGTCTGCAAAAAATGTTTATAGCATGTGGCAAAAGTTTGCAGCAATCAAATCGGAAAAAATGCACACACATACACACACTGGCAAACAAGAATACACTTCATAATAGTGCTTTGGCTTTTTGGTTATGCAAAAGTTTCGGACCAAAAGTTCAAAGTTTCAAGGTGCAGTTTTAAGCGTGACGTGGCCTGGCCTGGCGTATGCGTCATAAATGCCATAAAATGCAGACACGTGGCACATTGAAATAATTCCAAAATTATAATGATCAAAGTTATTGATGCTGGTATGTAAGTGCATACAATAAAATGGCGGCAAATCAATTCAAAAATATGCATTCGATAAGTCTGAAAGTATCGTGTTGGTAGAACTACATGGAGGATTTTTTCGACAGGGAAGAACTCGCATAAATTATTCAAAATATATGCATTTTATTCATTCATTCATTTTCATATTCGTTTTATTCTCTGCATTTTGTACCCTATGTGTAACATATACAAGCAGACTTAAAGATCTCAATTGCAAAAGTTTAGTTATAATATTGCTCGAACATTTACCTTTTTCGAGATGGTTAGCCTTGAGAAGGTTCAGCAGTCTTTAAAACACTTCTTCTGTCTTTAATTCACTTACCATCAGTTAAACAACGAAACTCCATTGTACTTATTTATAAAGTTGAACGCAAAAGCTCTTATCTACTCATCATACTTGACGGAAATCACAAATTTTGTCATCATCGACACACAAAAATATGACTGAGAATTTGTAATAAGTGGAGCTACAACTACAATAACTGTGGGAACTGTCTGGCTAAAGGACTGTACGTAAAGGGGAATTTAATTGTAAACTAACGCACGATAGAATGTCAGTAATATCAGGAAAAAAATACCTGTTCTTAAGGGTTTTCTTTAGTACCATACACCTGAAGAGCTAATGATGGTAAATTATTTCAGGCAATGTGCTTCTAAGAATACGCTTTTGAGTGTTAACAAAATAAGAAATCACATACCATTCATACAGAGCTTGGTTATTATATTAATACACTTCAAATTGAAATGTTTAATACAATACTTACTTACACTTATTACTTATACTATGTAATGGTCGCTTGCATTAAAATTAAATTAATTTTACTTTTATCGCAGCTCGGTGCTACAAAATTGGCACTTGCGATAAAAAGGGTTAAAGTTGGCCCCAAAGCTTCAGGCCCCTATCAGCTGTAGTACTACGAAAGCTTTAGTTAGTACAACTCTGAAATGGACTGGAATGTATAGTAAAGCGCATCTAACTTTACGCACTTCAGTAATTCCCTCGAATTAGGTGTTATAAAAGGCCTGATCTTGCTAAGATCGCTCTCTTTTGTTCTTTAACTTTTGGATGGCCAAATTCTACAAAGTAGCCACGTCCGTCAGCTACGCCTAACACGTGTTTTGGGTGTTATTCACTGGCCCAAAAGGAAAACGGCGGGACACTCTCGAGCCCAAAGATTTTGTCCACGTTAACCTGGACCTTAATCGAGTGTAAGTCCGTGCGGCTGGAGACGATTTGAAGACCCCCCAATCTTTATGGCATTTTCCGCCTGTGGGTAACTGTCTATTAAGGGTGCTGCTAAGTAATCGGTGCGCATCCGTCACTAGATTTGCGACTAATACCTTGTCGCTGCTGTATTGGGTGCAGCCGAATCAAATAACTTCGACATAAGGGTTATTTCCCGGCGGAATTCAAACCGCAGTCGTTGTTTACACTTGGACGAAACATTTGGTTCCAATCGGCAAAGTGAATTGCCGTACGCTACAAGTCCGTCTTCCAAAAAGGAGCTTGCGAACATGCGGGATATATCTTTTTGCTCTGGGTGTCGAAACGTCATTAGCTCAACATGACCACCGCCGACTTCGCTCTGCCGTAGAACCCATTGCCGCCACCACCACCTCATCATTAACTACAAAAAATGTGCTACTGCTCACAAAAAAAGTGTCTAAGTTTGAAAATCACAGTTTCAAAATTGAAGAGAGTGTGTGTACAGTGCATACTTGTAGAAAGGGAAATG